CCTTGTACTAATTTAAGCTTGACTTCAGTGTAGATATCTTTTCCAGTTCTGGTCACTCCACACCAGTATTTCCCAGCATCGGCAGAATGAAGATCAGAGATGGTTGTTGTGAAGATTCGTGCTGTTTTGTCATCATGGATGCTGTATTTGTTTATCACTGGATTTGATGTTGTAACAAGAACATCACTGTCACCACAGTTGTTCTTACACAGATACTTCTCATAAGACTCGTAACCCGCATCATAGGAGCAGTAAATGTTAACCATACTCCCCACATATCCAGGCACATGGATCACCCCTACTGCACTGATCACACACCTCAGAGCAACTGTAAAATCATGAAAATATATTAAAAAAATACATATAATTATTTATTTTGTCAGAGCAAGATTCATGTATAACATTCCCGAGCCTAATGAAAGCTGTTTTTCTGACCTTAACTACAAAAGAAAAAAGATTTAATGCATTTAAATCTAAATCTTAAATTTGTACTCTTCATCTGTTTACTTTTGTAGCTATTTAGACAACTTACTGCAGATGGTGAACAGCAGGTTGTGAACGATCCACATCTTTGCTTTGTTTCGTAGAAACAGAAAGCTGACAGGAAACGTACTGAAAATGTGACACCCACAGTTTGAGCTACTACATGCCATTGGCAGTACTGAAGCTTTCACTTCTGCATTGAGATCCAAATGTTTTTCAACTCGTGCTCATTTGCATTTTTTTTTAAATGTAGAAATTTTTCGACATTCTTTAATGTAATTCAAAGTGATTAGACTGCTACTAAAAAATGACTTCTGTCTGATGAATTGCGGGAACATTGTGCCTTTGAACTAAAACGGTTCAGCTGACAAATTTAACATTTAGAATAGAATTTTATTTTCCTGCCACTGAGGGGCAGTACAACCTAATATCATAATAAGAAGGTTCATGTACAACAGGACCATGACTGATTAATATTCCCTGATTAATACTGATTAATAATTTTACATTGTGTTAAAATAGCTCTGGATTTATATTGTTTGCAGGATTTGTTTACAAGGCTTTGAATAGTTTTTCATTTTTGTGATTTCCAGTGCAAATCAATTTGGGTCACCATCATTAACACTCTAACCATATGGTATTAGAATATTTATTTATTATTTATTATCATTCTCAAACATGTTGATAATTTGACGATAAAAGGTCATTTTTAACTGATATGCATCAAAAACATTTACCTCTTTTTCCAGAATTATTCCTTCTTTCCTTCTTCATTTCGTTTTTGTCTTTCTTTTAACAAATATCATTCAAAATATTAATAGTTAATAATAGTAATAGTTAGAAGTTAATAATTAGATCATGCTTTCTCAATAATTTTGTCAAGATCACTGCGGAACACAGTCACAGAAACACAAAAAAAGAATTTCAGTAAATGTCACGCTGCATCTACTTCTGTTTACTAAAGATGTTTTTTTCCCATACTATATTTAAAGATTAAGTGCATCAGTCTCTAAAGACTCAAGAGTGTTATATACATGCCCCTTCACACCCCTATACCCCCCCACCACACACACACACACAGCCTTCTCCTTCAGAAACCAGACATACTTACAACCTAAAATATTGTGCCACCATGTAAAAAGCACTGACCCCACCCTGACCAGTGCATTATAAAATGCCACTGGTAGTATACAGTATGTGGGTGGAAGCATGCATGTGTATTTTCCCTGAGCTCAGCCATTCCCCGGACTCCAGCTGACCGCTCAGCTGTGCCCCTTGCATACTGCAGCACAAACTGTTTCCATATCTCACACACTCTCACAGTTAAAGGTTAGCATTAAGACCCCCATGCAGAAGGATAAGTGTGTCCCGAATTAGCGAGGATGCCAAGGCAAGCTGGACCATTGCCAAGATGGGTTGCCAGGGGGTATTGGGTGTTTGCTATTGTGGGTTGGGTTTCTGCAGTGTAGCCTGTGTGCATGTTGGCAGTGCGCAGGGCGCGTGTGTTGTGGTCTTCTCAAACTACAACCCAAGACAAGCACACCTATGCAACACACACAGAACCTTAGTATGTTAAGATGTTCTACACTGTTATATAGAGCTGACCCTCTCAGGTCTCTATCTTTAGCTTTAATGGTATGTGTTGATGCCTCTCTATATGTCTCTACATGTTAACAGAAAGTAAATAACAGAAATTAACCTTGTTTTATAGATTAAACAAAAAGATGAAAAAAATTAGCATTCGTACAGAGGAAAAAGTTTGGAAACCTTGCCCAGTAATAAATAATAATGAAATAACTTGTCTTTACCTTACAATATAAAGTGCCTTAAGTTAACTGTTGTTGCAATTTCTGAGGTAAAAGGATTTTGCTGTAACATGACAGAATGTGGAACAAGTGAAACGCTGTGAGTACTTTCCATGTACATCTTATGAAAGTATCCTATTATTTTAAAAATGATATTAGTATTCAGTTCCTCATAGTTTTTCACTCAGATCCATCCTCACTTATGACAAATAGCACTTACAGCACACATCGTATATTAGCTGCATGTTAAGCTAGCCATCGATGACAACTTTAACTCTGTGTCCTTGTACTTAGTTTTTGATCAGTTAAGAAGTCCAGTTCTGGTTGTGTTTTTCTTCTAGTTTCTCGGCAGTTTTAACCCACTCAACTTTTAACCCACAATTGTTTCCATTAAACCTGAATAATCCAGTCTTTAAAATTTACTATCTGTACACACCATCAAAGGTCAGATTATCTCAGCCTTCAGTGTTGAACATTCTTTGTTTCATGTAGCTCTTGTGAGTCATCCAACTTTCTAAAACTGCAGTATAAAGTTGCTGAAGTGTTTGTGGAAGTGCTCAGCAACAGGTTTAAAAGCTTTGTTGATTTCAGTATATAGTATTTCAGTATAATGAAGATAATGAGGATGAATTACTTCTATTACTGTGTCATGCATTAAGCAATATGCCCAGCACGTAGGCTTACAGACAGCAATAAAGAAAAAGAAACCCGAGCGAGGCACCATCGCAATTTAAAAAAAAATAAAAGTAGAATAATCCAACCTTATGTTTGGATTGACTGAGGTATTTGTTTGCTTGGCTAACCATTTTTATGAGCTGAGTGAAAATTTCAGACTGAGGACATTTTGGACTGTAATCACTTTAAGACACATCTTCAAAGAGATGTTTGAAGGTGCAGATGTAGTTTAATAATAAAGGTTAGAAATATGTTTAGGCATTCTGTTGTGATGAGCTGAGGTAAGGGCCTGGGGAATCATTATCTTAACAAGTGTCCTCACAACAATAGTTAAACAAACGTGTGTGTGTGAAAGGGGAACATTCCATCCATTCTTGGTCTTCATAAGCATAGCGCAAAAACATCACACACACAAACAGACACACACACACACACACACACACACACACACACACACACACACACACACAAACTGACACACACACACACAGACTGTTGACAGCAGGCAGCAGGAAAGGTGCACATACACGCCTCTAAGGTCATTCACACATCCGCCTCGTCTTTCAGCTCTCCGCCCATCAAGCCTTAGTAGTTTCAGCCATCAATCCATCTGGCAGCCCCTTTTTATTTTGGCAGACATGCTTCTCCTGTCATTAGGCTACAATTCAAAACTACTCCTACATTAAGTATACAATGAATATCCTGTACCTTTAGGACTGTACACTGTAGAGGTTTTGTTTAGTATAAACTTGAAAATTTGAGAGAAAAACATTAGCACATTAGTATCTGAGCTACCCGGATTATTATGGTGGAAAATATAATTGCTTCCACTTCTCTCACTCAGTAGTGAACACACACACACACACACACACACACACACATATACATGTGCAGGGAAAGCAGATGCCAAACAGAACAGTGGCTCATCAAAGCTCCACAGGGGCAGCAACGCCAGCACTGACGCACTGCTGCTCTCCTGCCAGCTAATGGTCACTGAGCACTCATAATAGTTTTTTTCTTTTGGTTAGTTAGGTGGATAATAAGTCTTTGTTTGCATCCATGTGGGTGGACGGAAAGCCTGGTAACTTTTGGTCCTTCACTTTCTGTTCCTGCTACAAACTTCACTTGTCAGTTGTTTTCAATTATCCGCATGCCAGCCACACTAAGCCCCTTTGTGCCGTGCAGTATCTGACAAATAGTAGCAGATTTGTTAATAAATTATAAACAAGGCCCCTCTATCAGGACATAGAGGTCATACTAACACATTCACAACCTGAAAAACACGCCAAGTGTGTACCTTTTTGGTGAGATAACGACACATATCTTTATTTTCTGTAAATATGTACAGTCCCTTTCAACTCATTAGCAGCACACACACACAAAGACTCACAGAGCTGCGTACTATACACTTCTGTCAGAAGACTCCTAAATTTTACAGAAAGCTTTTTACAAAGCAAACTTTCATTTCAAGAATGAGCAGTATCATCAAGAGAATAAAAATGTTAACCAGGTAGGCACGAGTTTAAATTTAAGCCTCTCGTTCCTTCTTTCACTCACAGTCACTCATGCACAGATTTACAAACATATTTACATATGCAGTAGCAAAATAAAGCCAAAGGGACATTTCGGTTTAAGTAGCACATTGGCTATTAAAATGTCATAAAACTGATAAGATTCTGAAGACGTAGCCTGTAACGAAAACAATAAATCTGTAAGATTCCTTCCAGTCCCTTATTGACCCATCTTCCAAATTGTAACCTTTGCGCGTTTTCTTCGCTGACTGAAGCACTCCTTGTTTAAAATCAGAGCCGAGAACAGATCTCTCAGTTTGTGTCTACTTGACATGGGTTTGTTCCTGCATTTTGTACTTGGATGTACAGCTTTAGAAAGTCTTTGTAGCGTGGTGCACAGCCAAGCCAGGCTTCTCCAAAATGTACAGAGCCAGTCAAAAGATACTCATCCCCTCCAGGACGCACACTGCACTGTGCAGGAACATTGATACGACCACTCCAACTCCGTCCTCTGGCTCCACCCCAAGCAAACACCCTGCTCTTTTGGTGAAACAGTCGTCTCAGAGTCACTGTCGCCAGGGAGTGCTTGTTAGTACCTGGTGCGACGCCTTGGAAGACACCACTGCCAGCTACAGAGAAGGAACAGTTTTAATAAAAGAAAATTTAATCAACAGGTTAAAATTAAATAAACTTCAGAAAGCAATGAAAGCTTTTTTCAAAATTAAAAAAAAACTGCTTTCATAACCTCCCTACCCTGGTGTACTGCTAATATCAGAGTTATATAACTGTGCAAGTCTGAGTCTTTCTGTTGACTTTGTAAACTATAAATGTTCTATTAAAAAGATGAAAAATTAAGAGAACATTTAGACTAAATCTATACATGATTGTCAGATTCATAAAAGCAAGAAAATGCCTCAAGAACACAGGCTTATGCATTAATTAACACTGTGAGCAAGCGAGATACAATTATATCCCATTACATTTTGTTTAATGTCTGAGTACATTTGTGCCAAATCAATATGATTAGGAAACTGATCAAAGCTGTTGCAGTCTGGGCTGCATGTGCCGACATTTCTGGGAAAGTATGGTGTGTAGTTTTATGCTATAGCTATGGA